GAAATCTGCATCAAATTGTTGACCAATACTACAATCGCGGAAAAAGCGGTAACATATATTAATTCTCTCTAAACATCAGTAATTCAAAATTATATAAAATTTAGGAACAATACTGAGTAAACTACAGAGCATACAATTTCGTCCAGACTTTAGGGATGACTATAAAAATCAATTACAAGATTTTATAAGCAAAGATTTAAACAAATTTGTTACGTCTTTACCAAATGATAATGAAATTACAATTGATAACACCAAAGCAGAGAAACAACTCGATTTAAATGATATGCCGGTATGCTCGAAACTAAAATTTTTTACTCTGCTTTAACTGAATAAATAATATTTTTAGTTCGAAATAATGCTTAAAGTATGCAGTTATCTTGATCTGCAGTCATTATTCCGTATGAGTTTGGTGTGCAAAACTTTATATGCTGTAACCACACATCCTCTACTTTATCGGGAACTTAATTTGAAGCCTTTCTGGCATTTGGGTTCCAATGAATTGCTTTGTACACTCGCAAAAAGGGCCACATTATTAAGGAAATTGGACTTATCTTGGTGTGGATTATATAATTCTATATCACCTACTGAATTCAAAAAGTAAGTTTAGTTTATTTTCGTAAATTTTGCATGCATTTTATTTTGAAACCATTTAAATATATATGTGTGTATACATTCATAAGTTTTATTTACAAATCTTTTTTTTTTCATATGATTTTTATATTTATTTAGCTTCACTTTACTATATAATAAATATAGTGAGTTTCATAATATGGTTTGAAATGTAAAACCAGTGATATAACATGTATTTTTCTTAACACAAAACGAATAGATTCTATTTTATAATATTGTACTCAATTTTGAATAATTTTTATTTCTTATTGCATATAAGTAATGTTGTTTATAATTATCACTTATTATTAATTTCTAAAAGCCAGTTATTATTATCACAATAATGACGCCCAATGGCGTCATGGCTAGTAGTGCCCTCCCTCCTAGATGCATTCGTCGATCTCTCCTTTTTTTTAACAATTCTATCGACACCTTTTGCAACGGAGCTAACATCAGTGAGGTCGAATATAAACGTGGACTTACGGCCCTCCACACCGATGCAGTATCTTCTTCTAGACCTAGTTTGTCTGACAACAAGGTTTTTGATAGGCCTCCGCCTGAAATCTCCTCGGATGAACGCTCTCTTCCACGTGCAACAAGAACTGTCCTTGCTCAATTGAGATCAGGATATAGCCGAGTGCTAAACAGTTACTTGTCTCGCATAAATACGTCCATCCACAATGTGTGCCCTAACTGCAGCTCTTCTCCCCATGACGTCGCCCATCTGTTTTCATGTCCTTCTGCACACACAAATCTTCGTTCAATTAACCTTTGGACTCACCCCATTGAAGTGGCCAGGTTTCTCCGCCTGGATCCAGGTTGATGGTTTATATATACCTCTTTTCTACTCTTCCTCATCCTTTCTCCCCCCTTCTCCTTCATTACCCTCCTAACCTTTATCCTATTTCCCTACGCATGTAATCGTCTTGTGTTTCCTTTCATGTTTATCTGCTTACAGGTCCCGGCGGATTACAACAACAACAACAACACAATTTAAAAAAATAACTCTTTAAAAAATTTTAACTACAATTAAAGAGTCAGCGATTTTAATTCTCATATGAATTTATTAGTGTGGAAATTAAGATTAAAATAATTTACTTAAAATCTTCAACTAGTTCAAATAAAATATTGTTACTTTTTCATTGTCTATTGCAGATTTATACAACAGTGTGGCGATAATTTAACTCATTTAGTATTGAACTCTTGTAAATTTCTTAACGCAAGTTGTATAGAAACTATTGGCATTGTTTGTGATAACCTAAAAGGTAACAGTCTAATTCTATATTTAATTTTTAAATAACTTCCTTTATATAAATTTTGTTCAGAACTATCATTACGAAACTGTTCCACCGATCCACCACTCTTAAACTTTTCTTGTTTGGCGAATTTGAAAAATTTGGAACGTTTAGACTTATTTCAAACTGTAATCGAAATGGATTTGCTGCTAACCATGCTAGAAAGTAACCGAAAGCTAAAACACTTAAATTTAGGTACGAAATAATTTGAAACAACTACAACATCATAAGAATTATTATTTTACCTGACTTAAATTATTTAGCTTTTTGTGGGGTAAATGTGAGTATGGATGTAGTAGCAGAACAAATAGCAACATACAATAAACAACTGATATCCTTGGATATGTGGAAGTCTCACTATCTCTCGGCAGTGGGCTTACAAGCATTATCAAACTGTCATGATTTAGAAGAAGTAGATTTTGGTTGGTGGTAAGTAAAATTTTTGATTACTATAAAATCTTATGATGTTTATTTATTGCTTTAAGCTTAAGAGAAGCATCACTTGGAGATAGTTTACAAAATTTTATAAAAAGTTGCCCAAAATTGAAGAAACTTTTTTTGGCTACTGCGAGGGGCATAACTGATTCGGATGTCAGGAATATTGCTAATATTTGCCCAAATCTTGAGCAATTGGATTTGATGGGTGTTCTAGGTATACCTAAAGATCGATATTATGAGTAAGTATTGTGTTTAAATTTATATTTTAAAAATATTTTAATTGCCTACAATTTCTAGACTTTTAGTGAAATGTTCCAAGCTGCAACTTTTAGATTTAAGTTTTTGTGATAATATTGATGAGTTTGAAGTAAGTAAAAACTAAACTCTGATAATATTTACTAATATTTTTAGTATTTAAAATATTTTGTATTTTTTAGGTCAAACAATGGTCTCAAATATTCAAAGTAAATATCAAATGTAGTCATGTGCCTATGGAATATACAAATTAATACATATAAATAATTATAAAAAAATTTTAGCTATGAATTTTAGATAGTTGTAAATATATAGAGAGTTTACCTAATTGTTGACTATATAAAAATATGTATATATATTAATATATATAAATAATAAATTGCAAATCTAAAGATTGTTTTTAAATTTATTGAAACAAATTTAAAAAAAAGCTAATGTAATAGTATAAATTGTTTACCTATAGCATACATATTATATTTTTTTAAATATATATAAATGTCCACATGGATGAATCCGATTGATCTGCAATATACAAATTTCACGCCAAACTAAGTTATTCTGTGTTATGAGTTGAAATTTCATAAAAAATTGTTGTGACCACAAATATGTTAAAAAATAATAGCAAAACAACTTGGAAGTGGTCATTTTATTTTTTAATTTGTCGAAATCATGAGCATATTAACGAATATTGTCAATGTCATTTCGTGACAACGAACGCATACATGTTAAGAAAAATATTAATGTCTACACGTTACTTAAACAATTTCTTTTAAATATAGTTTTTATCCGGCTTTGCAACAAAATTGAACTAAATATACTTAATATAAAACTGAATTTTATTTACAAATAAAATCTTGTTACAATATAAACACATTGTGAAAACTGTATAAATATATTTTATGCTTGTATTTATCTTTTTAGATTAGAAATACTCTAGCGTCCATACTGTAGGATACTGTAGAACAAATTAACTAGGTTTATTGTTGTTATATATATTGTTTTAAGTATTTAATTGAAATTTAAAATTCAATTAAAATGCAGCTTAGCTGCTGTGTAAATGGTAAGTATCAAATATCCCTCTGTCTTGGCGTTTAGTCTAAGAGAAAAAAATATTTTGAATATACAGTCAAACTTCCATTACTCGAACTTCTATAACTCGAACAAAATCTTTGTTCAGTGCCGATAGGAATATGGGAAAGTGCATTCTATAAGTCGAATTTTTGTTTTAAGTATAAATGCATTTTGATGTTAGGGGAAGTTCCTTTTTCCAAACCAAATGCTTAATATTTTCTTTCCTATGTTGCTAAAATAACTTCCAATGCTACTCTTAACGATTATATTGAACTTAACAATGGAATTTGTAATTCAAGCTTTCCTACCGATGACGATATTATTGAGCATTATAGCTCTAAATTACTGAATCCAATTCTAAGCGCAACGGAAAGTGATGATGAGGGTTCGGTGGATGTAATTGTTCATTAGCATTCCAAGAATGAAGTAGAAGTCATTCAAAAATCTGAATTTATATTTGCAAACAAGTGATACTACAACTGATGATCACTATAAGAGTATGAATAAAGTGGAATCTCTTTTTACTGAAGATAAGAAAAAAATTAAAGCCCCAAATCTCAATTTCCGAATATTTTGCTTCATTATAACTTCTGTTCTTTATTTTATTGCAAATTAATAAATATTTTAAAAAGTAATTCTAGTTTTATTCCAAAAATAAAAAAAAAATGAAAAAATTTCCTAACTTGAAGTCTCCATAAGTTGAACCTTTTGTTTGCAAAATTGGACTTCGAATTAAGGAAGTTTGACTGTAATTGTAGTTGCTGGATGAATTTTAACCAAACACTGTAATTGATATAATTCATTAAAATATGTATCAATTTAAAGTATTAGTTTAAACTACAGCACTACAGATTTTATAGGTCGAGGCTAAGTAATGTACTAAACACAAAAATAATATAATTAAATTGCTTTACTTTACAAAGTATACCTTCAGTGCTTTTTTATTTCTGAGTTATGAAAGCATTTTTTTGTTTTGTTTTATTAATTATTGTTTGGTTTTAATTTAGCTTTACAAAACATTGGTTCAACTTTCTCATTCAATTAATTATTTCTTGATTTAACATGAGTTATTGTATTTTAAAATACTTTGCAGTATCGTTTCTGTATTGTGTTCTTTTTAATTTGAATGTAAGATATAATAACTTTTGTTTCTGAAAAAAACAATTCTAAAAAGAGATTTACTTATAAAAATGCCGATACTTTTGAAAATGCTATATTTAGAATGAGAAAATATGAAATAATACAAATGTACACAGAAGAAATGTCAAATATGTGACATAATGTATACCTAAAAGACGACAGGTGTTAACCTGCACATTTGTTTATATTTTGAGGCCAACATAGTGAACTGTCACAAAGAAATATAGGGATGTCAGATGATGAAAATCGAAAATACAGATGTATAATAATATAGAATAAGAGAAAATAAAAAATAGATTATGCGTTCATGCTTCATGAAAATATGGAAAACTAACTGAAAATTATATAAAACGTTTTTATTTTCTTAACAACATATATACAATTATGCTCATAATTGTGAATATATCAATTTTAATTCAAAATTTTTATATAATTTACTTATTTAACAACATACCTACTTATGATAAGAATAATTAAATAATAATAAATGGACAATTTTATTCTATATTTACACATAAAATTATCAAATACTGATATTATCATTAGTACTATGAAATGTATTTTGTATAAAAAATCGTTTGCAATAATTTTCATAAAAGGAAAATTCAAAGAAATTTCATTCAGACGTTGCTCAGTAACTCGGTAATTCTGTAATTGGTTAAGTAAAAAATAGATAACATCTCATAATAACACTTTGTTATTTCTTTTAAAATAATGTTATAAAATGAATCTATCAAATCAGCTGATTTTAATTTTGTTTGTCTTGTTGACTAAAAAACCAAGAAAACAGCAAAAAAGAAATTTAAAATTAACGTAAAACTTTTTACTACTACAAATATTTCCGTATTTATTAATTTTTCAAATACTGCTTTCACATGTTGTGAAATATCTTACAATTATAAGATTCAACTAATTTTTTATTGCAATACCTAAAAAATTATCAGATCTAGTGCTTTGACAATTTATTATATTGGTAACGTTGTTTTTGCACAAAAACAAATGCACATAAAAATTTAAGACTATACCAAGATATTGAGTTACCGAACACGTTTGAATAACTCTTATGTAAACGTAATGTTCATTTACCATTAATATTAAATTTTTATTTTTGAATAGTAATATAATCAATGATAGACGTGTTACAAATTAGGTGATGATGTGTGTAAACGAGATAGCTATATAAGTTCCAGCATATATATCTATCAAAGTCCACCTGGCTTACATTAAATGAAGTGATTAAATAAATCCATTTCTTCACACAAAAAACCAAATTTATTTAGATATATTTTTAATTATGTTGTAGTTATAAAAAATTTATTGTCATATAAAAATACTTAAAGCGCAGAAACAAATTTTTATATCTAGAAAAGATTTTTTTTATTTAAATGCTGCAAACATTAATATGGCAACTTTATGACAATTCACAAAATTTTTGTGTTTGACGTTATCCGCCTTCGTTCTCAAGTGAAACCATCGTCACGTCGTATAAATTTGTAGAAGTGTGAAATGTTGAATATACAAAATTCTCAGCAAAAAAGCTGCAAATAGTTCAAACATATATAAACTTATAAAAAATGCCAATATAATTTGATATAATAATTTTTGAAGAAAAATTTGTATTGTAGTTAACTTTATGTTATGATAACATAAAGAATACCATAAGTGGAGTGTGATTAGTGTAGTGAAATTTTTAAAGGAAGCCTTCAAAAGAAGTTCCAAGAAATAATAGCAAAGCAAAATTATTGGAAAATTGTTTCGGTGAATATATATTTTAAGAGATCCAACAATCTTAATAATTTAAATAACGTGAATATATCAGGAATTGTTGCAATACGTTACGTTAATAATTAAAAGAAATTTTGTGTTAGAATAATTCCATGTATATATATATACATAAATATATATATATATATTAATATTGATAATTTTAATAAAAAAATTAGAGAATATAATTCTCTTTAAAAATGGATGAAGACGAAAATTTGCCAAGTGGATATGCAAATAATGCAAATTCTAATGATAACGATGGAGCCGCTGGCGATTCCGTTGCTACTGGTGATAGTAGAATAAATGCATATGTTTCCGAAACTGAGGACGATGCAAATTTGCAAAACCGTTCAAAAATAACAAAAATCTCAAATACTTCGAGTGCAAATGGAAAAAAAACAGCATCCGAATTGAGTGCTGGTGCAAAACCTAGTTTCTGTTTTGGTATATCGTCATTTAGCTTACGTAGCCGCAAAGAGGTTGCTGCACTTGTCAATGGAGAATGTTGTCGTGGAGGGCCGACGCCGGATTTAGACTCCCTTATGAATACATTATTCAATGCAAACACAGCTATAGATAATCCAAATAATATTGAGTGGGTACGCTGGTTAATTGCTGGTGGTCGTACGCCACAGGAATTTGTTAAAATTAGTAAGTATCATTTGATTTGAGTGTATTGATTGATTATTTTTTATAATTTTAAATACTGATTAGTGTTATCAATATTCCAAAACTTGCATTTTCGAAAGGTGTCAAGAAAATGACAATTTTGCAGCAACTGTTATCCCATGAATGCAGTTTAAAATTTTTAATTTTTTTGTTTAACAATCAATAATGAATCTGTTCTGTCCATCCACTAAAATTATAATAGTTGCTTGGATGATATTGGTTAACCTTAATAAGCTATTGCAGTCTAGCGTTTTAAGTTATTTTGCGTAAAGTAATATAACTTAAAAATATTTCATTACATCTAAGTATGAAATATTATTCTTAGATTCGTTTTTACGATTTGGTAATTTCTAAAATTATGTTTTATTCATACCATTTTAATTGAATAATTGATTTTGGAATCAACAAACATAATGATGATGTCATAAACATTGAGTAATTTATATGAAATATATATTGGATTTACTACAAATTATTCATTTGCAAATTTGTCATTTAAGAAATTTTATTTTAACATCGAATGAAGATCGTTTTAAAATAGAGAAGTACTTCTGAAAATAAACTGTGGTTAATTTCAACGTAATAGCTCACTTTTACACCTAGTAACACTTACTGATTGATAGCCAATATTTGAAAACAAGTTATTATTTGAAAAATACTTTTCGAAACATTACGGAACAATCCAGTTGTATCAAAGTCAGTCGAGTGGTACTGCTGGGTCTACGTTCCGGAATTTCGCCATTTCTGCGGTGTACTTAAATAGCACATAATTTGTTTCGAGTTTTAATAACGAAAGTAATATGTTAAGTTTGTGTTAATAAAATAAAATAAAATAAATCTTTTAAACCGAATTGAGTTCTCAAATGCACTCTGTAATAAATAAACTTATCAATTATAACAAACTTATAATGAATTAAATAGAAACAAATAGTAAAGACTACATTGTGTATGAACCTGCAGTGAAAAATACTTCGATACAAATATGACCATCTCAAAGTATATGTTCAGTAAAATGTAGTGCCAATCTTGTTAATTATAGATTTTTTCTTTTAAATTTGAAAAACTAACATGAACACTGAGTAAGCACTAAAAAAAGCATCCGAAACTATTTAATACAAAAGATATCCCCTTATGATATAATAAGGGATTCCAATATCTTAATAGGAACCTTTAAGAACTTTAGACCTATTGTTGTGTCCTTAAAATATAATTTATATATATATATATATATATATATTTATATATATGTACATATATTTATATATATATATATTAGATATATATTTGGCAAGCCAAAGATAACTTTTTGTTTTGATTTTGTTTTGAAAATAAATCAATTCTTATTAAGTACATAAATAAGGAACAAAAATTACAGACTCTCCACTTATTACAAGTTATAATTATAAATCAACTAAAATGCTGTTACCTTATGACTGTTTCGCAATGTTATGTAGAAAATAATGTAATTATACATTAAAAATTCCTAAGAAAGTCTAATCATTTTACACTTACAATCGCTCTTTAGTCAACTTAGTTTATATATCATAAAATAATACTACAATGTACAGTAGAACAATTTCATATAATCAACATTAAAAACAAGCATTAGTGTAAGCTAACAGCACCAAATATAACCAATATACGACAAACAAAATTTTTGGGTTAAAAATTAAACTTTGACTTTTACGAATTTTCATACAAATGGTTGGTTGGTTTCAGTGGTATTAGAGCTTCATCTTCTATCCAAGTAACGCATAGTCAGCCTTTTGTTACCATATGCCAGAATAAGAAATTTTAAAGTTTTAAAATTAACCTGCTGTCTTATTTCTTAATTAAGAGACTGTTTTTTGGGAGATCAATATTTGGGAGGTCCGTCAACCTCATTAATATAGAGTTTCATAATGGAATGTCTTATATTGTGAGCTTGGCTATCTGCAAAGAAATAGTTCTGGAAATAGTTATTTCTTTTTCCTGTTCTTCCTTATACCGTTTGTATTTCTGGTCAATAATCGTAGTTTTTAATTTATATTCTGCTAATCTTAAGAATCAAATTTGAATGTTGTAAGTACATGGTTTTAGTTTAGCTAGTTTGTAGGTAATTTTATTTACTTGTATTGTCTGCTGCTCTGGAACAATCCATGCATGATATGTATTTGATCTCAGTTGCGTTTGCACTGCTTCTTTAAAATTAACGTTGTAAAATAGACAGATAGATAGACTCTCAATTATTATTAAGTAATATTATTAATTTTTTTTTAATAAATTTTAGCATTTGATATACTATTCTTAAGAACTTAGGTCGCAGTTAAGTTTCTAGTTGATAGTTTTATTAAATCATATATATATTTAATTCCAATTAATATCACGGGATATATTGCGCCCAAAAACCAGTAGTCGGTTCATATGGAAACCCTTACTTCATAACTATGCATTGAAATATATATGTTATAATACTATCTTGTACAATCGCTGATTTCTTGATTTTAAATCTGCAGTTGAGAATTCATTAGAGTTTAATGTAACGCTGTAGTAACTAATATTACCTATAATAATAGTATATATCACTCAGAATTATCTTTATCAAACATTTTTTTGCATAGTCCTGCTATTTACCTTCATAACTTGATCTTGTAATTTTGTATGTTCATCTTTAGAACGTATTCTTTAGGCTTATTCAATCACTATTTTTCTGAATAATATCTGTAATTACAAATCTAAAACACGTACGAAGTGTGTAGTGTGAGAGACTTTACATTAATGCGTTGTATATTAGTTTATCCATCTCGTAGTAATACTACATTTGCAGCTTGTGTTTTAAATTAATAAATAATTTTTAAAAATGCCTGTTAGGAAAAAATAAATAAATAAAGAATTTCAATTTCAGTTAAATATGGCTAGTTCATTAATTTACTCACAGTTTTGAATTTCATCCTATAGTAAAAGCTAAAGTAATTTCATTTGCTTTCTTATGAATCCATTTTCTCTTTATAAAATTACACTTACTAGCCTGAGAGTTTCTCTTGATTTATTTTTGATATCTACATAGAAAGGGGTAAACAATTTTTTAAATGTATGTCTAACATTGAATTTATTATTCTGCTCAACGTACGTATCTGGTATTGTTAAAAAATCAGTATAAATAGATTTCGCTTGGATGCAAATTACTACTTAACGACAATAAAAGAGACAAACAAACTTTGCGTGAACAAAACTTTGTTATTGTGGATTTACAAGACCTACAACCTACATAAATATTAATAATAATAATAGTAATAATAATAACAGTAATAATAATAATAGTAACAATAATAGTTATAATAATAATAATTCCTTATGCGTCGTAAAAATATATAAATAACTCGATTGGCATTGGCTCATTTTTTTTTATTGCAATATTAAATTATTGAAGATATTAAAGTAAAATTGTTCTAATTTTTTTGATGTTCAGTAATATATATATGCAGTGAAATTTCTTATAACCGGACATTCACCGTCACAGTGTTTCTGTCCGGTTATGGGAGATGTTCGCTTATGGAAGAGAGCACAAAAAAATAATGTTAAAATTGCACCCAAATGCTATTTTGGATGAAGTTGAAGTTAAACGTACGATGTTATGGGTTCACTTATTTCTTCATTAGATCCTCCTTTTGAACTTATTTCCATAATATTGCTTTGTTTATCAAATTAAATTTCAACATTGTTGTCTTCAGTGCAGATATTTCTGTCTATTTAGGGAAAACTGTCGAAATCATTTGCCAAATCGAGTCCTTCCTGAAATTTAGCATAGATTGCGAGCAGAATGTCATCTTCGTGATCAATATCGCTAAGACTTTTATACAGTTTTGAAAATCCTGCTTCACGGAAGCATTGTGAATTGTTGTTGTTCTACTTTATGCCAAAATACTTTAAGGAAATAAACAACTTCAAGTACATTAATAGATTTCGACAGCTCTGAGGCTGACATTGTAGTGTCAATTTTGTTGCTACGAAAGTATTTTAAAAGAAAGGTTCTATAAAAAATTTCAGTATTTTGAATTGCCCATTGATCGTGGGCAACGCGTTGGCTTCCTGCCGTTGTGTTTGGAAGTAATTTGTAAATTATAAATTATATTTTATTAATTATTGGCGACAAAAATTAACCATTTTTTATACAAAAACAAATAGAATTTGTGTAATGGAAAAGTGCAGATTTTTAAAAAACTTGTTCGGTTTTTTTTGAAGACCGATGGTTTAAAATGAAGTGTCTGGGTCCTGTTATTAGAGTAACCGATAATGGAAATGATATTTGCATGAAAAAATTATTGAAAAAGCTATGTTCATGAAATTTGTCCGGATATTGAAGCTGTCCGGTTAAAAGAACTGTTAAATTTTCAAGTTCAGAATCTGAAAGGAAATGTGATCTTTTAGCAACAAGATATTTTTTGCAAACTTTCATTGTGTCTCAAAGTATATATCATTATAAATTTAATTTTCTTTAAGGATTATTGTACACTGTAAAGTAACACTATACATATAAAATATATTTGTTTATCGAATTGTCTAAACCTATGTGTAAATATTTGACTATTTTATAGATTATATATTTAATAATACACTATTGTTGGTAATGTTATGATGATTGTTCTGCAATTTAATTTCTAAACAGTAAATATAATTTTTCTTTTTCATTGTTTGCATTTATTCTAAAATAATTTGCAATTTATCAAAGTTTTGGTAATTATTGGCCTATCCATTTATCTAGAAATGGTTCTGTAGTTATTTCTAAATTCAGGGCACAGAAAGTCCATCTAGTCTTGAGTTTTTTATTTAAGTTTAGCAAATGGTGCGCTTAATGGCCAATGATCCTTGCCTAAATCTTTATGCATTTTTTTTAATGTTGTCAAGGAAAACTCTTGCAGTCTCAGCAAGTTTTCTAAATTTTATATATAAATTATTTTATAAATAAATTTATAAATAAATTTTATCTAATTTTCATTAAATTCGTACAGTTATTGTTATACAAAACACTTATCCATAAGCACTTGAAGTCGACCAATGAAAAATTTATTAAAAATAAATTTAAAAAAATTAAAAATAGTTGACAATTTTAAGTGTTGTATTTTACTTTTCTTTTTATGAACATTTAATTCAATAAGCTGACGAGTGGTCACTGGAACTGTATGCTTAACTATTTATCCAAATCACAAATGAAATGACCTGTTCTAATAAGCGAAGCAAAAAAATATAAAAATATTTTCAATAACATGTTTATCTAACCCACCTTATAAAACTGAGCAAAAAGTCTATGAGGGTCTGAAGAATCTCTGAAGAATCTCTTTTTATCAGTTGAAAGTAATTAATGTTAGTTGAATGGTTTATGTATATTAATTACTAGATGCCAAATTCACTTCCGATTTCTTGTTTCCGCTCTTGATAATACTTCAGATTCATTGAAATGCGCCGACAAGTTTTTCGCAAATTCCAGAAAATCCGAATATTAAGAAAAATTTTCTAGAACTTCAGTAATCAACAGTTGCAACATTACGGCAATGTATTAAATTGCAACGCAACACAATAGTTTATTGACCGTCATTGTTGTTGTTTGGTTGGCTGAGTATTGCTGGCATTGTTCTGCTTGCTGGTTGCTGCTGATATTCCACTCTTTGCAGTCATTAATGTCGCTTTTGATTGCTATTGAATGACAACGTTTTCCACTCATTCAATTTCGTTTCCACAGACACAAATTTCACCGCATTTTCTGCATTTTTAAAATGTTCATTTATGTGTCGATATTTAAGCGGTTGTAAGTGCTCAATTCATTCCAAATTTAGGAATAACAGGCCAAAAAAATTAATATTTTCGATATTTACATAAAAGCTGAATTTTTTACAAGTATAAAGTAAATATTACGAATTTTAAAATTAATTTAAAATCAATTATGACCAAAGAAACTATTTTTTAAACAGAAAGGTTAGAGCAGCTATAAATCACAGTACTGCAGATATGGCAGTACTGTCATCATCAGTGACACCTGAAAATATTGCTTGTATTTGGTTATTCTTGAATAATTCCTTAGACTTCAAGCAACAATGTTTGACCCCATACTTTGTCAAATTAACCAACTGACATAATACCGTACTCGACTTGTGTTGTTCTAACACAATTGGAGTTTTGACAATTTGTTATTAAATTTCATTAATAAAGTCACTTAATGGTTTATATTAAAACGAAATTATGAAATACTGTTCTATAATAATTGAAATTAAAAGTTCTTGCTATTATGCTGTATCAATGCAGAGAACCAACATTCTTCATTTTCTTTCTGCTTGCATATATTTTTGTAATTATATTATAGATTATTGGGTATATATGATTATATATTAATCATATATATTTATTATATATTTATTATTTATGATAATGATTATGATTATGATAATATATGAATTATATAAATATTTTCTATTACTCTATAATATATTAATCACTATAGATTAATAGGAAGTAAATAAAACAGCAATATGTTAAATCTATCTCGCAAACGGTTTTAATATGAAGAAGAAATTATGAGGATTCTGACACAATATGAAGAAATTTAACCAATTGCAAAACAGCATGAATCATATATAAACCATTAGACCCACAAACTACAAAATTAGTTTCTTGGCTTTATAGTAGAGATGCCAGAATAAACGTAAAGTAAATTTGTAATCTATTATGTGCCTGCATTTTAAGCAATTAATTGAGTTGTACTTGCTTAGGCAACTGCAATAAATGTAAGCAGAAAAAAGATAAAAATATAGAGTAGATGCTTTGTCTGTGATTTGTTCTAATAACAAGAAAAAAATTAGACTTAGAAATCCCAATATTCGAAAAATTGTTTGATGTGGCGTAATTTGAAACGGGAATATTTCAGAAATTTTCCAGGCTTTCAGTAATACTGTGCAATGCTATATAAATCTGCAACAAAATTAATTTCACCTGTTATCGAATGCAACACAATAAAGTCTTTGCATGGACTCTCACCCATACATATACTGGGTTTAATAAAAAGTAACGAGCATTTTTGAAATTAAGTGCAATGTATTTTGTGCGATATATATCAAGTCGAAACCACTTTTGTCAGTAACATACGTCTGAATTATTCAATTAAATGCGATGATTATTTTGTGTTTGTCAAGCAAATGACCAAGACGTACATTAGTGTGTTTTGCCATTTTTTTTTTTTAGCAATACGTAGAAGGGGAAAGGTTGTATTAAATTCTTCAAATACGGAATCAATGCGGTGGTCGATCTAACTGATCGTGCCTTACAGATAAGAATAATCATAACCGCTGCTGCGTACACACCTTCTCTAGGCCCTTAAATTTCATCAATCTATCGGAGATACAGTCTTCTCCTATGTTTTCTTTGGCTACTAGCTGCTTCAAACACTTAATTCGCTAAAGTATTGTCATCAATTTTTGCAAGATGAATGTCATGATAAAGCATGTCGTTTATTTAGCAGTCGTTACCAAATCTTAGTGCTGTGGTGACGCCAATACTTCTGATGTACCATACAGAAGCACAGGTAGGCTGAGTGACTTATAATGTGTTAGTTTTGTCGGCAAATAGAGAGAACACTAACGCTAATTGTCTATAGAGCGTACAATAGCACCTTTAGGTAATGGTAATAATCCTAATCGAAATTTAGAGTGGGAATATATTGAACCCACATCATCTAAAGAGAAGTTTCTAAAAATAGAACTGAATCGAAATCAAATTCAACTTTAGTTGTTGTTTAAATTGATCATTTTGGTTCCTAATATTCTGAGGTCGTTGTTCCACTCCTGGGAATTGTTTTTTTTAACACTTATTGTTTTTCAATATTATTTCAAAACTCACTAAGGTCGTGTGCGAGTTAAGCTAAGTTGCGTTCTAAATGAGGGAAATTCTAAGTTGTGTCGATAATGTATTGATGTGTCGATACGTGTTGATAAATGGCAAAATGTGTGCAGTGCAAAAAATCCCAAAAAATCTCCCATTTGGTTTAGCATCAACTTAGCCTAACTCGCACACGACCTAAGTATATACAGAGTTATAATTAGACTAAAAGATTTAATAATAAGATTCTTAAACTTATATAATTTTATTCATTATTTCAAAAAATCTATTAATTATGACTTATATGTTACACATATTTATATTCCTCTTTTATTTATAGTACGTAGTTACGACAATCATGCTAAATGTGGACTTGTTTGGGTACCACACGTCGTGGCGTATAGGTGCAGAACTTGCGGAATTTCGCCCTGCATGTCAATTTGTAGAGATTGTTTTAAAAAAGGTGATCATACAAATCATGATTTTAATATGTTCTTATCTCAAGCGGGCGGTGCTTGTGATTGTGGTGATACGTCTGTGATGAAGGCTGAGGGTTTTTGTTGTGACCACGGTATAAATAATCGAGCCAATAAAGATCCTGTTCCTACAAATTTACTTGCTGTGGCTGAAGTGATTATGCCTAAACTGTTATTTCGACTCTTACAACATTTTCGCGAACATAGTGATGCTACATCACAGACATATAATATGGCTGCATATTCGTGTGATGAATTCGCTAATATGTTAATCGATCTAAATAATATGGGAGAAATAATGCGTAAAGTCATGACCCGCGCACTTATGAATCCTGAGGTAATATTTAAAAAATGATATGCCACATATATTTAATCTTAATATTAATCTTAATATTGATTTTAATTTAGGTTTATAAAAGTTTCAATGAATCTTCATATATGGATACAGTTGAAGGTCGATATCTTAGATCAAATAAAGAAAAATATGAGGATGCTGTTAATAGATTTCCGCGTCCTGAACCTCCCGATGATTACAAACACTTGCCTGCATTAGGTGAAAAATTAGTACACACAACATTACTTGAGGAGTTCATATTTTGGACATTTAAATTTGAATTTCCACAAAATTTGGTTTGTTTTCTATTAAATATGTTGCCAGACCAAGAGTATAAGGTACCAAGTAACATTCATTTTTGATATTTGCATAAATTAATTTTTCATATTTATAGGAACATCTAACTCGTACATTTGTAATGCACTATAGTCGCATACCATCGGTTTTGGAAATGTCACGTGATCCCGATACATTAAGTAATCGCGTCGTCCATATGAGTGTACAATTATTTTCAAATGAAACTTTAGCACTCAAAATGGTTAATGAACTTTCGTTGTTACATGTTATGATTATTAGTTTGAAACTAATGATGTCGAAAATTCTCATACAAAACACTTTGCATGGTATGCCAATTTGACTATTTTCAATAAATATAATTATTTTTAGATAATTTATCTCACTTTTAATACTAAAATATATTACAGATCCTGGTAAAAATTTTCATTTCGTTATTGATTGTACGCGTCAAGTGATGAAAGATCACTGCTATTGGCCTCTTGTATCAGATTTTAATAACGTACTCTCCCATGAATCTGTTGCTCTGGTATTTCTTCGTGACGATAATCTTATAGACATGTGGTTCCAATTTCTATCTATGTTGCAAGGAATGAATGTAAATGTACGTGAAACTACTTCACATGTTGAATTCGAACCGAACTCATATTATGCGGCATTCTCATGCGAGTTAGAAGCAAGTGCGTATCCTATGTGGTCCATTATTTCACATTTACAAGATAACACACATGCGCATTTGGCTAAGAAAATTATATCATATTGTGTCAACACTTTGCATGAATGGATCGATGCAATCTACTTCGTAGAACCAATACTAACTAAGGTAATTTATATACTCAGATAAAATTATTTAAAATTCAGTATTTTTAATTAATCTTAAAATCCTATTTAAAATAATTAACAGTACAAATTTATTTTGTTAATTACAATTTTGGTTTATGTGATCATTTAAACTTGCAAATAACTTATAAAAAGGCATGGTAATAAACTTAAATCATTATTTTATATTTAATATGAAAAGTATTCAATTAATAATTATTTATTTTATTTAATAATGAAATTTCATTAACAAAATTAATTATAATTTGTTGTTCATTTAAATTCCATTTTAATATTGAAATTCTTTTTAATATTTTAATTATTTTTAGCGTTATCATTGATTTTCTAACTGAAGTTGATATTATTATTTTATTTGTTAACTTTTGTTATTATTTATACAATTTTTTTTTATTGTTACCTTAATAAAATTACGATAAATAAATTATGATTAAATATATATATATTATTTAAAATTTTTTAAACTGTTTAATTAATATTTTTTAATATTAATTTTATACAGGATGAAATGATGCAAGCATCCTTTCATTTTCCTCTGCACCGATACTTAGCTGCTTTCATATGTCAAGCTGTTACCAAAATGGGAATGCCATTATCGCAAATTTTGCCGGAAAACAATATTTTGCCACTTCTAATGATACACCCCTTAAGAGTACAGGTGAGTAATGTACAATAATATTTCTTATTATATAAAGTTTTAATATATTGGTGTCTCATTTTTATTTTAAAATATTCTACATTTAAATTTATATCAAAGGTTTCTTTTATTACCTTTCTGGTATTAATTTGTTGGTTTATATATAATTTTTTATTTAAAATTGTCGAAGTTTCGAACAGTTCTGATTTCTTCACCTGATGAAGCTATAGAATATAGCTATTATTTATATAAACTAACATACTTTTAAAGTCTTTTAATTAATTATGTTAGCAAAAGAAGTATTTACAATGTATGTAAATGCATTAAAAAAAAATCTATATATTATAATTTATATAATAGCATAACAAATGTGTTATTAGTTCAATCACAGAAATATTACCAACATAAATTGAACTGGATTAGTTGGTTTTTTAAACAATTTAAATATCATAATATTTGTCTATAATAATTTCGAATTTAAATACCAAGTTAAAGTAATAACAATTTCAAAAGGAGTCATGTATTTGCATGTACCATTATTTATTCTTTGAATACCATGAATGTGACCAGCATAAGATCATGGTGTTTCGCTTTAAAGTGGGTTAACTGTTGAAACTGATCCTTTGGTGGAAGAGATAAAAACAGTTGTATTGTTGAGAAAATTTCACTTTAGGAAATCGAGAGTAATAGAAATAAATACTTTTACAAAAAATGTTTGGAAAATAGTAAGGTATTGATTTTTAAAACAATTTTGATTTCCGAAAATATAATTAAAAATTGTTTAAAAAATTTAATTTTATACATCATAACTCCCGAACCGATTTAAGTACAAAGACATAACAACCAACGACGGAGAAGATATTAAATAGACTAAAAATGAATGTGCGACTTAAATTTTTTGATTAAAGTGAGTGTATTTTAACTGGAGATCTTTTTGAATCTCATGTGATTATTATTAATTTTAAGCAGAAATTTTCTGAAGTTTATGCATTTTACAATGGCCAGTTTTTTTTGCAAATCTTTTACTGAATAAGCTGTATAAACTATATTATAACTAAATAAATAAGTAGCACACCAATTTTTGTGTAATTATAGTAGGTATAAAAATTAAAAATTGTGTTTGAAAATTATATTATATGTCACATTTCGTTTTTAGCAGACTTCTTATTCAAGAAATTATAATAAATTATCCTTTGCTAATAGTTTTGATATGCAGTTGTTCTGTCAAAAAATGCAGGTTAATGCTTATTGACTGAATTGTTTTGTGGGGTGGTGTTTGATTTTGAATTTGTTTGAATATAGTGTGTTATTGTCAATTGCAATTTTGTCATATTGTCATATATGTTTTATAAGACTATAATATTCGAAATGTATATATATATATATATATATATATATACAGAAAATATATATTTTTATAAATGTGCTTGATATACACGAACTGAAATGCAACGCTTGGTATTTGAGTTTGTTCCGGTTTTGATGTAATGAAAAAGTATTTGATAATTCATTTAACCTTTACATTGTCTTTGGACTATTTTGGTAATTTTTATTTAAGTTTATTTATAGCTATTTTTAAGTCATATCGAAATTTTAATGCAGCTCCCTCTTTCTCACGTGCCTAACGTGAGAAAGAGGGAGTGAGAAAAATTAAAACTTACAAATCTTGTCTTTTGGACTATTTTAGTCCTTATATACACTTTAGAAATTTTATTTAATTTTCTTATTAACTTGTGTATTTTAGAGCATGTAGAATACACAAATATTGTCGTCGCTGCTAACAACTAGCATCTCCTGATGCTCACGATGAATGAATTTCAGAAAAAATTATGTTCGCATTCAATGCCAATATGTCTATCATATTCGCAAAAAAAAAAACACAGCTAACAATTTAATTTCCATTTAGTGCTGTAGTAGCTGATGATCTGATTATTTTTCCGAACTCTTTCAACATATGTTAATTTTCTCTTCAGAGAAAACTGTTTTGCCAAGTCAAGACTTAAATAAAAGTTATCGGCCGTGATATTTTGTTATTTCAAGCCTTTCGTCAATTTCAACTACACCCCTTCTCCTTGATTTTCTTCTGGGTGTCCAATTGCTGGCTTTCCGAGATACGATTGTATCTTTCAAACATATTTCGTTCTAGAGTCGACATGTAACTAAAGTTTCAAACCATATTTTGGAGGTTTTGAGGATATGTTTTGTTTGAAAGAGTATCGCTCTCTAAAAGCTACTAGTTGCTCATCTATGGTTACGTTTTCATGGCAATTGTAAGATATTAAGAAGTAGGATTTCTCAAAGGTTTCACAAATTACAAATAAGTCCAAACTACTTTCAGCGTTAAAGCTACTTGTGTGAGAGTATTCATTTTCTGTATTACCATTCTCATTATTCAAAGCCGTTATCAAAAATACTTTCATCTAACATTTCACTTATTTCTATTGAGCTTTAATGAAGTCGATCCATTTGATCAAACAACGACCTACCTACCCACAAGACAACTCAATTTTAAATGAATACTAGACGGTTGGTGTGCAACTCATCTGCTTGAGAGTTGAAGTAAAATTAGGTGAAATCACAAAAATAATTTATATATTGAACACTGTTGTTAGCCTTCGAACTATTTATAAAATTTATTTCTTAAAATTTAAAAACTTAAAATGAGGGGAATCACAAAAGAGAAATGCTAGGAAATATTTTGGTACCATACCATTTTACTTTAACAAAAAATGAAAACAATTATGCACCCAAGTTTTTTTTTTGGGCCAACATAAGGATTAAAGAATGCAAAAAACTCAGGTAGTTACAAGTTGATAATTAATATAATAATATATATAATTTTTAGACCCGAGACCGTATACCATAAACTATTTCCTTCTCATATTTATTTTCTGGATATTGTAGCATTAACCTGCCATAGCTTTTCTAAATCTTACTCTCTTGTTAGGCAGAGAATTTGAAAAATTTATCTCGAAAAGAATTTTCACTGAGAATTGCATACATCTGGTAAAAAAAACTAATAAAAGCTTAAAATTAATTAAAAACGAAATTATTACGAAAAAATTCCATTAATTTATTATAAAATAACATATTGTTTTGCAATTGAGGGGTAGAGTGAAACATAAAATTTCACTTTTTACAATAATTAAGGTGACTGGTTTAACAATATGGGTTGAATTTTTATCAATCTGGACAAGATTATATATTACTAAATTTCTATGAAAATTAATTAAAAAGTATAACTTGAATATATAGTTTTATTAATATGATTTTGTAAGGCTTAAAAAGTTGAAAACTATTTCTTTCTTGTTCATGAGATAACGGGCTCTCTTTTTATTTTGAATAGGAAAAGATTGGACATAAGAAGGGGTCCAATAAATTATTTATTATTCAACTTTTACTATATTAATTATTATTATATTTGAATTTAATCATTTATCTACAAAAATATTTGCTACAAGAAAAATATACGGGCCAACAGGTTATTGTAATAATTCGTACTGATTCTCAAATAGCGATGGGTTTTTGAGAGATTTGAACCTATTTTTAGTTTGGGGGTAATTATTTCCTTTAATCATTTTACAATTTTCAATTTCCTCAATTAAAATATGAATTTGGTTTTTTTTTCAATTATGTTTTGCTTTAAAACGGTTAAACATTTTTTTGTAGATCTTTTTGTCTGCCTATCTTTATTATACATGCATATAACTTTAAAAACAAGCAACTTCCTTATTTTGCTGAGACTATTTTTTACAGCGTTGCATTTGACATTGGAATTTATCTAACTTATATAACAATTAAATCACTCACCAGTTTGATAATTATCATTAATTAAAGCAATCAAGTTGTATATATTCACAATAATTCACAACTGATGAATTTGTAGAAATAATTGTAATATTGTGAAACGCGAACACAATTGCCTCACTTAAGTCTTTCTTAGTGACTTGCATGCTAATAAAACTTATGTCAATATAAATTAATGCATTCCTGGTATGGGATCATTGCATTTATCCGACGTCACCATACTGTTCTTTTCTGATGATGTCAAAAATGTAATCAGACAAGCCAAGGATTTGAATTCGAGCATGTATTTAAATGCCCATGTTCAAGTATATCGAAGCCAAGCATCTTCTTACTGATTTACATTGTAAATATCTTCATCAATTCTTACACCATCCCTAATATATGGAAAACTGGAAGTATAATCTCTCTGTTGCAGCCAGGCAAACAATCTGGAGAGTTTTAATATTTTGGACACCGACATTTCCATTTTTTCCAGTAGCCAATATTCTTGAGTTGTTAATTGTTATGTAGCTATCGCCATATGCAACTTGCACTACATCAACATGGATTTCGAAAACGTTAGAGCACCATTTCAGTCATTTATAAGATGACATCTCAGATCTGAAATGGCTGCAATCAAAATGGTGCTTGTAAGTAATTTTCGATATTGCAAAGACGCTTAACATGGTCTACCATACCATTTTGCTAAATGACTTGGTCCACATAACCATTTCTAACATGACAAATCGATGGATTTGCAACTATTAAATGGTAGATTATCTTTGCCAATTTTAGTGGTAAAATGTCGAAAGCCAGGATATTAAAACAAGGTATTTGTTTATTCTTACTATTCAACTTATATATGTCACAACTCTTTGTTCTGATTCTTAAGGGAATCAAAGCTATAATGTATGCTGACGATTGCATAACATAACAATATAAACAATATTTTATGTACCCTCATTTCTCATGCAACAGAAACTGTCCTAGCCTTATTGAGGTCATTGTGTATCCATGTGCTAAACAACTACTTAACACGTATAAATACGTCAATCAATGTGTGCCCCAATTACAGCTCTACTAATGATATCGCACATCTGTTTTCATAATTTAATGTCCGCAAAGATTTGAGCGCTATCAATCTTTGATAGCAATAATAATTTTTAAGCTAGATTAAAGCTAGTTTAATTCCATCTATCTATCATCTATTCTTTATCCAAAACAAACTCTTTATCACCAACTTACTATATATATTGTCCGAGGCAATATAGATTTCCTCAGACTACAACAAAAACACCAAGTATTACATATTTAATAACGAAATAAATGTGACCCTGAAGTTTAACACTACTTTGATATTTTCCTTAACATTAGTAAATCAATAAATCTTTTTTATTAGATATTTACGTTATTTATTTATTCAAAAAATTAATCTTGAACTTTTTGAACTTTGTAAATCAAGGTTATTCTCCAAGAAAAAAAATCAAGAAAAAGTTATTAAACGATTAATATTCTACTTAAATCCAACATTGTTTTGTATATATTTTTAAAACAATATCCGGCATAAAACTTTTAACGTTACACATAAGAAATGATTGTATAATTTAAAAGAATAAGCAAGAGTCTCAATTCACTTATAGGAAATATTTAAGACATTATTAAATAACTTAACGAGTGATAAACAATTTAGATTCATACAGAAAAGAAAATTCTTAACAAAAAAATCGGTTAAATAATTAAAAGTAAGAATTTCGTAATTTTTGATATTTTTAAGTTTTCATTATTTACAAAATATAAGTTCTACTAAGGTTCTCTACTAAGTTGTTATTATATTTGAATAAAATAAAATATTTACACCCACAATTAGGATTGTTTAGTACAATTTTTTTACTATAAAAACAATGCGACATCACTAAATTGCTTTATATGTTTTTTTTTTGTTGTAATTCATAATAAATTTTTAATTTTTTTGCAATCAGAACCATGTATAATTTATGCCAACATGCGTAAATTATTTGACACAATAAATTCAATAAATTTTTATATTAGTTTTTATTCTACTCTATCGTTTAATTGTATTCACTAAGATCTTTACATACTTTGGAACTGTTTTTTGACTGTTTATTTTAACATTTTTTAATATATAATGTTAAGCTATAATTAATATATTATATTTTGCTCCTTATACTTATATGCTACTTGTTCTTAATTGATAAATCTTATATATATAATATGATTTCACATAAAAATTGTAACGCTGGTAGTATTTCTATTAGCCATGTGTCGGCAATTGTACATGTGGTGCAAAATCATAGGTCTCAATTTTTGGACCAACAAAACCACCGTAGCCATTCTGAGTTTTATGATATATACCCACACCTGCTAGCGGTACTGGTGGCTTTGAAACCACACCTTGTGTATCAATAAAAGGTACTGTACTTTGAGCAGCATCCTTGTCCATATCGGAATTAACAAAGTCAATATAGTCATTGTCCTTAGAATTCGGCAACGATTTCACAATAGTACGAATTGATATATCTGGACTATTTAGTCTTATCTTAGTTCTATATATGAATTGATAAATGTTATTTTATTGTAAAATAAACTCAATTTAAATGATGATAAATACCTTCTATTTCCGCTTACATCAGTATTGTCATTAGATTTCCAGAAACTATTTATTTCGGGTGATACCAGTTCTCCCGTTTTAAAATTAAATTCACTGAAACGAGCTTCTAGATTTAAATGTGTACCCATGACTCTGAAACGTACACCAGTGACAATATAACTGATATCCTCTGTATGGACATCATCTAAGTCTATTGACCGAGATTCATAACTTAAAGTGTGATAATCTCGTCCATTCTTGACATCTCGATCGAATATGTTGTAATTATTTGTTGGTTTCCAAGAAATATTTGATGCATTAATGCTACCGCGTGGTTGCAATTCACCTTGTTGTATTTGTAAATGGAAAACACGATTTTTTTTAACAAAACGTAATCCAGTGACAACCCTTAATAAATAAAACGAAAAAAAACATATTACTTCATACATAAAATTACTTCGTACAAAAAAAAATTACTTATTTTCCTCTACATCGGAGACAACATCACGTAAATTAAAATACCGATCGGATTTTAGACCTTGCTCGTCGCAAAGGCAAAAGCAGTAGCTACAGTGCCATAACAAATAACGCCACCAAGAATCAACCTGATCAAAAAATATTAATATATTTATAATGTTTGATATATTATCAATATAACAGAAATATATTCTAAATTGTTTGTACCTTTGTTGTACCGCGAGTACAATAACCCGCTTTCCCCAAAATTCGACCATTTTCATATTCAATCCATTCATATCGACGCGTGCTATTCAAGGGCTGAAATGAATATAACAACAATGTATTTATACATTTTGACAAGCTAGTGCCAATATTTTACCGATGGGCATATCCACATATCTGAATCCAAATACCTACAGCTATATAACCTGCCAGAACATTTAGGTTGACGTGCACAATATTTATTCTTAAAACAACCTTCTGATTTTGCGGATATGTAAAATGCACAATCTTCTCGACATGTTTCATCGTTATTCATGTCAACTTCATTCTCTATATAACCCTGTAATAAACGAGTGACTTCCTCATAAGTTTCCCCCTTAACATATTTATCGGGATCGCAATGCCAAACGTTTCGACTGGAACGTAACATAACTTCGCGTAGTAGTTTGAGTGTGCGCTCAGTACGTTTCTGATAATCAGAACGCATAAGCTCAGATTCTTCTGTAAAATTACCTAAAATAGGAAAATAAAATTGTTTGAATTGAATATTGAGTAAATATTTATATTATTTTATATAAACACACCCTTGCCATAAATTCTTAACATCATCCATGAAAATTCCATGAGTGCGTATCCCTTCAATTCCGTCATTGCAATGTCGGCATAGAGTGAGTAAACAAATTGCTGAGGCGATTGTTGCGTGTGGCATATTTCATTTGCGGATTCCTGTTAGAAGTAAGAAAACAATTCACATTTATAATTGTATATATATGAAGCAATATCTGTATTCTAATGAAAACAAAATCACTCTGATAACTTAATACTGCATGGCACGATTATTGCTGATAGGTAAAAACTCAAAAACAGTTTTAGAATTTAATAACTAATTATATATACAATCTTGTTTTTTATTATTTAAAATGTTTAGCTGTTAAGAAAACATTATTGTTTTTAAGAATTGTCATACATATACCAGCACAATATAGATATTGTACTAAGAAAGAATTCTAGTTACAACAAACAATCTACTTATATAAATAAAAGATATGAAAACCTGTGCTACTACAGCTTTTATTTGTTTTTAGAGAGATAAATATTAAATATTAAATGAACATGCAAACATTTTTATAATTTTCAGATATATATTTAAGATTATTTAATTTTCATATGTAATTATTTCATCTCTATTTTATCTATTACATTGAATCTAACATTTTTTTATAATTATACTTAAATTAAATTAGTTTGGAAAAATTTCAACTAACCAACATTGCACGATAGTATAAAGTCTGTTTAACCATAACCAATTCAATATCCTGAAAAATGCGGGACATTGAGAATACTTTATCATTTCGCAAAGCTGTATCGCATATATCTAATACGGCCCGTTCCTCCAAATTAGTGAAGTTTTCGTTGCGTTTCATAAAATCCTAAAAAAAAGCATTTGCGGAATGTACAAAGAAAAGCAGACCGACCAATTTGTGCTTTCGTATACCTTAAAGAATCCAAATATACCATCTATTTCCAATAAATCACGTTCAAGTAGTTTCCACTCATAATGATTTAAAATGTTGTATTCACCAGGCTCAAACAAGCTCTGCAAATGCCATTTAATAAAGCTGTTGTGGGAATCAAAGACTTTTCTTATTTGTGACAGTTTATTACCATTAGTAGTAGACTTATTCAAATACTGCCATAGAGCTTTTTCCAAATCAATGTATTCAGTACGTATTTCTTCCCACTTTAGTGTGGGAAAAGATGTAGCATTTGTGTGGGGCACGTACGACGTGAGGATAATACCAATAACACATAACAGTATGAAACGTAATGGTACAAGGCTACGACATGCATTTAAGCGTTGTGACGACATCCCAAAATTATTTCTCGATATAAATTTCTGCATTGCGTATTTTTATAAATTTATACACAGATGTATATGTATATATGTAATATGGACTTATTAAAGTTTTTTCAGATTGAAAAAATATTTAGTTTAATTTTTGGTGGCTGCTTTAACTGATAAAATATTGACCCGTGAATGGCGTATATTCGTATATGTATAACAACAATATACTATATACGAGTTTAGTTTTTTAATACATACTTTTTCACAATTCACGAATATTTAAGTAGCAAAATTTATAAATATAAACTTTTTCTTTTTCGTTTTTCTTACTAAATGTACACGTAAAATGAAAGAACACAAAGCGCTGGTTTGGTTCAATGTCGGTGTTTAAGGAACAAAGAAAGAATTGTGGTTTTTCACAATTCTCGGCTTGCTTGCTAGCCTCTTAACAATTATACTACGTGTGTCATAAAGTAGTATCCGATTGTACACAATATTTCTGCTAATAAAATTAGTTATGCTGAATAATAAAAATTCGCGAACGTTTAAGAATGTCAGTACTTCTTAATTTCACTCAGTACACTCGCTTAACACATTGCACACGTAAAAGGTGTTATAGTAATATTTATTTCAAATTATTTTTTAATCTGTAAGAAATTAAATGTTAAAATTATTTTCTTGTTTCGTTTGTTTTTATTCCCACATTTGCCAACAATCATCAACCGAGATTTGAAACGAACTATTCTCAGCAATTTGTTTCAGCTTGTAATTTTGTCTCATTGCATATATGTAATTTTCTGAACGCGATAAGGGTTGCCAGGTCTCATTACATTACCATCTCCTCTCTTTAGTTCATAAGTTTGATAATTTTCTCAGTTAATTAATTCGTGTCTATGAACTATATGCAAAAGCAATTAAAGAAACTATTTTAATTAATTTGTTTCAACTGAAATTATTGATCTATATAAATATTTTTAACACACAATACGCTATGCGATATACTTGTTGCTTATTAATTAAATTATGTTTCAGTGCGTGTGAGGGAGAGAGAGAGCATTTGCACATTTTTCACTCTATATTTTTGTGTTGTAAACACTTGAAGCAAAATATTTACGTATTAAATAAAAAAGTGAAATACAATGATCAAATATCAAGCTAAACTTATTTGTGTTAGCTTTGATTTAATTTAAAGTAATTTTCAATTTTTTGCTGATTTTGATTTTTTTTTTCATATTGTACTACTCTTAGCAAGAGTCAGTCATAATAATTATGAACAAAAAAACAAAAAAAACAAAACAAAACAATTAAAAAAATAAATAAAATTATTTCACTGTTTTACTAATTATTTTAAATGTTGGTCTTATTTTAATACACGGTAGCGGGTCTGACATGACAGATTATTTTATTTCAAAGTTTGCATTATTCACAAATGAATTCGAAATTTAAATAATTAATGTATTTTAAAATAACAATATGTATATTTTAAAATTAGAATATTTTATACTTTGAAATTAAATTTAAATTATATTACACTTCTACAGTTACGGTCTTTTTCAACTTTTAAATTATATATATTATTTTCCTTGTTCAATCTTAAAAAATATATATTATAAGTGAAATATTCTAAAAAAAATTATTACTTTTTTGAGTTTTTTGATCACTGTATAAGCCAGTAATAACCCCTGCTAAATATTACATAATGCAATGAAAGAAATGTAATTATATATACAAAGTCATTCTTATATATCTAAAGAGTAGAGCATGGTATCTTGAACTGTACTTAAAGCCATACAGTTGGTTTGGTTGATCGAATAAACTTAGCAATTAACAGTATTAGTATTATTGATATATATTCATCTACAGATATTTCAATGAAAATATTAACAAAATTCATTGAATAATTATATGAATGTTATAATTACTACTAATTAAGTAAACACACATGTAATAGTAATTTTGATTATAATTTGTGCATTCAGCCATACAAACACTAACAGCTAGAATTACGATTAAATTGTGATTAGTATGAAATCAAAATTAAATTTAAGTTTGTTGTTCTTAACAGTAATAATTTTTGATAAATTAAAGCAAAACAAAATAAAATATTACAATATTGGGTTTTTTAATTTGCGAACATAACGCAAAAAACAATAATAAGAAACAAAATAAGAATTAGCTGTGTGAATAGGTTTTTAACGTAGTGTGTTTAACGTAGTACGATTACTTGTACCATATGAATAGACTATAAAAGGATTTAAATTTTTTGAGATCGTGTTTCTTACAAACGTATGCTTTGCTTGATTTGATAAATTCATTACAAAATTTTTATATGTATGGTTATACGAAGCTGTAGAACAAAGCAAGGAATTGTGTGAAGTCATAACTTAAAGGGCATTATAGAAACAAATGTGGTTAAAGTGTTACGCATTCATTACTGTAGAATTGATTGAAAAATAGTTTATTTTTTTATATTAAATTTATCTAATAACCAAAAAATTAATTTAACAAAAAATATTAATTTAATAAATTTAAAAAAAAAATAATAAACGTGTGTACGCTCCTGACATTTTTGCTGCTGAATTGTTTATGTGTGCTATCTCTGTTCAGCTTGTAAAAACACAAACTGCAATGTTTATTTTTGAAATTCTTTTGCTTTTATTATTCAAAACGTCGCCTTTTCGCATTTGTGTCGTTCGTTTAAATGCTATTTTAAAACAAACATAAAAAGAACAGCCTTTTTTTAAAAATTGGTACTTCACCAAAAACGTTCCTAAGAGTTTATGTAGAAACACTACGGTTTTATCATATATATTTGGAAAATTGTTTTTGTTTCATAAACATTTAAAAAAAAAAAACTGTTTATATAAAATCTATATTTTATATTATTATTAAAATTATTTACGAATAATTAAATACAAGAATTAAACTGAATTTTTGTTGTAGTTCACTACAGTTCGAAAAAACTTCTTTATAAAATCTATATAAAATCGTAAATACTTTTTAAATACTTTAGACAATCTATGGCATTCTAGTTTTTCTGTATATAAATGTATAAAGGATTATCTTTGTATAAATTCAAGCACATTATTTTTTGTGTCTAGAAAATGCTCAGAACAAGGGGGAAAATGCTCATCTGCAAAATATAATTTTTCTTAATGTACTCAAAACAAAAACAAACTCATAGTAGTGCATTTTAACCACGTTTCACGAAACGTATTTTAAACAAAGTGGTTGGAGACTGAAGTTTTTTTAAGTATTTAAACGTACATATGTACATAAATAGCTTCTACTTAGTATAATACCATACCAATGTATATATTTTCTTTTGACGTATATACATTTACCACATACTTTTGACATTGCACCGCTTCTTAAATGGGTCAGTGACATTTTAAGAGATTTTTTCCTACACATTTTCTGATATGACACTTAAAGCAGCTGTCGTTATATATCATAAACTGCATATATTTGTTTTAATTCTTATATTACATTGCATATGAGAACATACATATATAATATGGCTTTTTACTACACACTTACATATCTAGTCTTCGGTTACACACACTTTGTGTGCTCGATTTGATTTCTGAATTTTTCTGAATTCGTCGAAAAATGGGTGTAGATTTTATTACTTTGTTTAGGCAAAATTTTTATTTTGCAACCGAAATAGTTTGATTTGTTTTCTTAATTGAATTTAACTCTTTGCGCTGCTCATATTACATTTATTATTTAATTGGAGCTATTAATTTACACAGACACTTTCTTTGGAATCAAGTTGTTTTTTTCTTGTTTGTTTTGTTTATTGCCCCTTTGTCTGGTTTAAAGCTTTAGTTTAGTGTAGTTGATGACTCATTTATAAATTTGGTTTCTTTAATTTTCGGTCTCGAATTTGTCACTTTAGCTTTCTCCTATATACATATATATTTAATAAATATATTTTTGCAAATATGAAAACTATGCTAAAATTATTATCGTCACCTAAATAATGGAAATTCAAGTTAAACTGTAGTCTGAATCATTTGTCTTTGTTATTTTTCTTTATAAACCGCAGTGGCTGCGCCGCACTTTAAATGCCAAAGGCGGTTATTCTGTCATTCAAAGCGAAATCAACTATGTAGATTTTCGCAATTGATAGTGGACATAAATATTTAATAAGATATGTTTGCATAAAAATAGGAAATCTTTATAGGAGAGGAATCTTTAAAATACGCTATATTGTGCCATGCAGATTTCTAAGAAATTTTGGTATAAACAACAAAAGACATTTTACCTCATAACTTCTTGCTAGTTGAGTCAGAAAATTTGTGGATGAGTTCGTTTTTTCCTCTGTTCCAAATAATGTTAAGTGTAAACGGTTCATCAAGAAACGTATAGAGTAAGCGTTCGGTGCCACTGTCCACTCTGCGAACATAATCAAAGTCGATATTTCTAATTTATCGCGACGTTTTTCATATTGCTGCATCTCCTGGAACCGGGCTGATATGCTATTCATAGTGTTTTCCACATCATTCATTTTAGTGAGAAGTGCCACATTGTTAGCAACAAAACTATTAACCGATTGTATTGCTAGCGCTACATTTTCTGCATACTAAAAAGTGAAAAAGTCTATTTTTTAGTCCGCTGTTGTTTTTTAACCTATTTATTTGTTATGGAAGGTGAAAATAAACCAACCTTTTCTTCTGTATTTGCGATTTGTCTACTAACTTCCTTTAGTCTTGTTAGCACTTTTTTCTGTTTTTCACGCATCAGCGGAAAGTCGATGCCATTAACTAAATTTGATTGTTGTACAATGTCCCAAGCGCGCAATATAGTAGATGAAACTTCTTTAACAACATGTATAATATCCAATACATCTTCAATTAAAGCATCGGTTGTCGGTGTCGAAATAATGAAAAACAGAAAGGCAACAAAAAACAGGGGATTTCTTTTAATTGGAGACATTATTTTAATGTGGTTTTATTTTTAAGTTTGTGCGTTATTTGTACACTTTTTAGTATAAAATATTTTTCTTTTTGGTTTTAGAATTCCATCTCTACATTTAACTAATTAATTATTCAGTCACTTTTCTACTTTTTCTTTATTTCCACACTACCCACGTCAAAGCACTTCAACTTTCAAAACTCAAATAACATCAAATCTCTGGAGAAGGAAAGGCAATGCCAGCATTAAATATAAACGCTCAGTGTGTTCTCTATATGTTTTCGCAACATAACATATGTTGTTCAATTACTCAACGCGCTGTGTTATTTGTAGTGCAATTACACAAAAGTAATAAAGCAGCTGTTTTAATTTTTTGCATATACGTATATAAAAAAAATTTATTTAAATTTCGATTTAAATTATTTGAATAGTTTTTATTTTAAATATTATTTAAATTTTGTGCATATTTATTTTATTGAAATAAGATCTTTGAGTTATAACACTTGATATACCAAGGCGTCAAGTCTGTTTATTTTTTGGTGTTCGATAAAATATCAACTGATTCTTATTATATAGGGCGTTCATGGGGCATTGGTTATTGGGTTATGTGGTTATGTGCTAATATTAGCAACAACAAAATGCACTGAATATATATAACCAACTTTACGCGACTCCTACCCTTGTTTATAAATTACGTGGTTATCTGGTTATTTGTAGTGTTGAAAAATAATATAAAATTTATCAAATGACATCAAAAAATATTAATTTCACCGAATGGCATGACAAATTGTGAATTTTAAGTTGGCATCGCTAACATTTATAGATGATTTCGTTTGCAAACAAATATTTAAAATTAGTAAGATTAAGTAAAAGTGAAATTAAATGAGTCATATAACGTAAATATGACTTATTTATATCCTATTTTCTGTGTTTTATAAAATCCGAAAACGTAAAAGAGACAATGTCGAATTTCTCTGAAATACGACAAAAATAAAGAATAGCTGATTGTGTAAAAAGAACCAGATATAACTTACATAAAAGCTTATTGACAGTGCACATAGATTATTTTTAATTATATAAACACATAACCGGAGAACCAGTGCCCCGTGAACACCCTAATTGTAATATAAATTAGAAGTGTGAATTCTTCTAAGAGAGAAAATTCTTCATAAAAAGAGAATTGAAAAGGTGCATTCGGACGTCCATCATATGACTATGTTACCGAACAAGAACTGAATTACCACAATTCCAAGTTGTTAATTTTTATCAAACATAACAGCATATGTGCAATGCAGAATTTTGTAAATATTGTAGGAGCTACCATTGTTTTATATATACTTCCGGATGTTTTTGAATATCTTGTTTTTTCGGTTTTGTATCAAAGTATGTAACCTGTGAAGGTTCACATCTTTAAAATTATTGGCATGTGTTCCTAAAAAAATTTAACCAGTTACCTTGTAATGAACTTGCTATTTGTTTTAAAATGGTCAGGCGGAAATAAGTTGATATCTGATCATATATTTTTTGTTTACATTGTTTATTGTTTTATATATATTATTTTTTGTTATATAAAGAATTTTATATAAAAATTAAAACTAAATACAACTAAATATTTAACACAATTTGAAAAGTGTAATTTTTTATTTCATTTAAAAAAAAACTTTTTTATGAATTTATGTGTTAAATAAACTACCTAAGCCCAATAACAAATATAAAAACTAATGGTTCAAACACGATAAAATAAAAATATAAAATATATATATAAATTATATATAAATTATGCTAAATATATTTTGTGTGTATTCAATAGGTTTAATGTATTAAATTTAAATTTTTTCCAATCTAATGAACTCTTTCGCATACTAATAAAATTTTAAACGTTTTATTTTGTTTAGTATAAACTGTTTATTTTAAAAGTGTAGGAAACCGTAAATGTTGACTAAATGTAAATAAAATGTTCAGTGACTACCTACATTAATAAATTTTAAATATAAATTTTCTATTAATTTCAAATAATTAGTAAAAATTTCAATAAAAGAGCTCACGATAACTCGCAAACCGCTTTAAGTTATACAGGAATAAACAGCTGACATTAAAGTCCACATGAAATAGTTTCTGACGTTTGCATAAATCCATTCAGTACCGAATCTAAAAAAGTATGAATATTTGGGGTTCCCGTTTTATGTAAATGGTAAATGTGAATGGTAACTCTGTTGGTTTTTGTTAATTTTGTATATGATGATTTCATTTTCTTCATTGCTAGTTTTATCTTAAAAATGATCAATATTTGTAAAACATAAAGATAAAAACACATTTTTATATACATACTACCATCGCCAGCATATATTTCTAGTAATAAGAGATCACAAACAGCAATTTCTTCAATAGTTTAAATGAATAATTTTTTTATATTGCTTCGGTATTATTTTTATTTGCCTTCCAATCGTAACTGATTTTACACGAGCCTAACGGCACTTTTGATTATTAATTTGCGCTGATAGCATTCTGATTTCTTGGTTGAATATTTTTTTAATTATTTCATATAATATCTCTTGCCCTAAAGATTGAGTTTAAGTTGAGACGTACAAGTACGTTATTTCTTGTCCATATACAAAAGCTAAAACTATACACAAAACAATAATAAATTTACAAGAACAACGATGTTGTCTTGTATCCTATAGGAGTTTATTTAAATGTACAAAATTCATTTAATGAATAACGCGAAATGTTGAATTAGATTAGTAATGGTAGATATTTAGATATTAGTAGTATCTAATATCTAATAGATATTTCGATTAGTAATGAAAACTAATCGGTGAAATTTGTAATTTAATTTCTTTGGTAACTGAGTGATTTTTTTTTATATAATATTTCAAACTTTAAAAGCTTTATTTAAGTTTTTTCCTTTCAAAGTTCAAATGTACATAACATTCGCTAATACAAAAGTTCTTGCCCCGTTACGAATATTTTAAATTGAATGGTTTATGCAGTAAAAATAAATTTGTGCTAAGTATACAGTTTAAAAATATGGTATAATTTAAGAATTATTTACGGGACTTATATGGTGTTTACACTGGCTGAAAATGGTTCATTTTGAATGAGCCATTTGGAAGTGTTTACATTCGTTGTATTTGATTTGTTCTCATTTCAAACAGCTGATTTTTAGACTTGCCTGTTAATTTGATTTGTGCCAAAAAAATGTTGCATGAAGGTTAAATATGCCTTCAAACCTATATTCAAACTTATATAAACTTAAAACATATTTTTAACTATGATTAATTATTTTTTGGGAAGTAGAAGTTCTAAAAAGAGGTGCATCGTTTTCAAGAAAATGCAACCACCAAACATTTGTTTAGCTTTTTTTTTTGTAAATATGTCAAAAACAGCTTTCTCAAACTATCAAAATGCCATGAAGAGCTTTCATTTAGGGTATGTTCAATGCATTCCCTCGTATTTGGAACATATTTGGAATGCTTTCGAACGTTGTTGGGATACATTCATACAGAATGTGATGAAATGGATCGCATTCGCGCTTGAAATTTTGTATGCAAGATAAGCCATTTTCTCATTTTCGATTTTTGACCAAAATGAGCCATTTTCGGCCAGTGTGAATGCCGTAAGAATAAACTTGTTTTGACTAACAAAGCAAAAAAAATTAACTGATATCTAACTAAACGAAAATAAAATAACAGTTTGGACAACCAACTTTTCAAAACCTTCTGTTAAACCAAAAAGTATGCTCAGACTGAATCGTACAGTTGATGGGAACGTTAAAAGTACTTTTATATTTCATAACAGCTTATGTCAATAGAATATAAGAAATCTAAACATAGTTAAAATACAGGTAAACTTCCATAACTCGAACTTCTACGACTCGAATTTTCTATAACTTGAACTAAAATGAGTGCAACAGGGTTTTAAAGTGCAAATTACATACAATTCAGCTTCCTTAACTTGAACTTCTATAACTCGAACGTCTCTATAACTCGCATAAAAATTTTGTCACGTGCCAATAGGAATATGGGAAAGTGCATTCTATAAGTCAAATTTTTGTTTTAAGTATGAATCTATTTTGGCGTTAGGAGAAGTCCTTTTTCCAAACCAAATGTTTCAATTTTTTCTTTCTTATGTTGCTTCTTTGTGCAAAAGCACCTCTTTAGCGCTGGCAGGCGGTAGTCAAACGATAGCGCACTACTTTAAAAAAGCTGGATTTGGTCAATTTTCTACATGGGACGAATAGGACGACATTCCTTTAATTTTCTTGAATAACATTTATGAAGATCGTGAATTGATGTAAAAGTGAAGTAAAAGTAAAATAAATAAAATAACTTTCAATGCTACTCTTAACCATTATACGAGTATTATATTGAACTACACAATGAAATTTGTACATCAAGCTTTACTTCAGATGACGATATTATTAAGCATTATAGCTCTGTAATATATCTTATTATAGTGGACCGATTGTAAGCGCAACGGAATGTGTTGATGAGGGTTCGGTGGATGAAATTGTTTATTAGCCTTTCAAGAAGAAGTAGAAGACTCATTCAAAATTCAAAATATTTATTTACAAACGAATGATACTCCAACTGTAGATCACTATAAGAGTGGCTTCTTGTGGGCAGGTAAGACAATACCTAAAAATAATTCTACAGTGTTTCTCACACTGGGGACTACAGCTACAAAAATCAGCAATGGCGAATCGGTACTCATTTGAAGGGGATGAAATAAACATTGAATATTAAATAAATACATTTTAAAAATGTTTGTTACGTTTTGATCTGATCACATTTCATATATCAACTCATATGTTAATACTTTTTAAAAATTTTCATTACTTTTTGATTTTATCTCGTATATCACCTTTTAATATGTATTTTATTTTTATTCTACTTTCAGAGCTTTTTTTACGAAATATTAGGTGGAAAGTGGGTGCGAAATGGCTTGCAAATAAAAGGTCAGGCCATGACTTATATACAAGCGAATTTTTGTAATTCAATGGCCGATATGGATTTATTTTTCTTGCAATTGTGCTCTACCAATATGGTAAATAGTACCTTTTTGCAAGTCACTATGAAGCTATTCAGCATTGAACCGTGGTTAGAAAGTGCACCTTTAAAGCAACCGCAGAAAGCGGAGCACTCTTCAATGTTGGAAGGTTTTCTCACATTTCTGGCAACTCTAGTTACCAGCCGTACTAATTTAGGCAATGATGAGGCCACACAGTGTATTATAGAAATAAGCGCATTATTGGCTACTGATAATAAAACGCATTCACAATTGTTGGAACTGATGCCAGAACGGTCAGGAAATGTTCACACAAAGAATTTTGAAATATTTCTAAAAGAATTATCCGTATATAAAGCTCCGTCATCTGGTTCAGAAAATTTAGAACAAGGTTTGTTTACACCTATTGATGACGTTTGGGAAAAATATTATGATCCCTTACATGTATTGTTACGCGCTGTACACCGTCGTGATTTCCAATCATCATTAGATCGATTTACTAATTATGTTAAAAGTAAAAATAAAATGCCAGTCAGCGGTAATTTATGGCCACCATTTAGGCTTCCGAAGCCTGTTGGAAAAGCTTTTAGCAATCCATGTGAAGTATTGAACTCTCATATATTCCATTCTGTAGTTCTTTCGATACTATTTCGAGCAGTTCATTCAAGAGACGTTTCCGAACATTTGCTAGCGCTTGTCATATTTTTACTAGAAATCAGTATAGAAGCAAATGAAACCGATAACAAAGAATCTAGTAGTGCTGGAATAGTGGAAGTCATTGATCATAAAAGTTCTTCTAAATATCCAAATTCGTCAAAAAGATCCCCACCTAAACTCTTTCAATGCTATAGAACAGATAATCTTAGTTGTAATTTAAGACATGTGGTTTCAAAGATCTCACTTAACACTGAAGAAAACGACATTGCAACATCTGCTTATCGTTCAAAGACGTACTATCCTGATATTGATTTTGAAGATATGCCAGGAGCGGCTGCTATGATAACAGGGAGTGATCATGATTTACTTGGTGGAACTGTTAGCAATCTGTCTACAGCAATGGTGCCTGTTCGTATGCCCAATATGGAGGTTGCTATACCACCAGATCTTTCTGTGGTACCGGAGCAAGGACTTATTATCAGTCAAGATAGTCAAGATGACGATGACGATGATTCTTTACGAGAATTAGGAAATGCCATAGAAAACACACCACAAAATTTAGGATATCATTTTACATTACAACCAATAACGTTACCTGAAAGTGGTATGGAGGTTGCAATACGACGAGATTTATTACTTGCCGAAAATACTACGACTGATGTTGTACCAGACGGTGCTACAGTCGCCGCTGTACAACGTCAGCAAAACGAAATGTTCTCTCCTACCACTCCAAACGCAAACGCGATGCTTTTGCCTTTTCAACGTGTCCAACCGGTGGCAGTGCCAAGCAGCAATATGGATATAGTGCCTTCAAATACAATACCAAGAGCTGTTAGTACTTTTGGATCACTACGTTCTTACGAGAGTATGACACGTAAACGTACCGTAGATAATGCTATTGCTGGTAGTAAAAACGAAATTCCAATTGGAGAAAGTATTCTTACATTATTAATGAAATTACACTCACAGTTGAGTGGTACATTAGACAGTTTCTCCCTTTCTGATGGTGCGCCAATTGATAACTCCGAAAATACTTCAAACGATCACATGGATACAAGTGAAAATGATTCAATGGATATAGACTGCAATGAGGCCAGTACATCAACTGCTGCTACAAGCTCTGATTCTAGTCAACGAAATTCAAAAAAACGACTGCACAACTACAAAAAAATACATGTCTCAGAATCTCGTATTGGGGACGGCCCTTACTTTATAGGAAATTTGTTGCGAAAAATTGCAAAACAAGACGAGCTTTGCGCACAAAATATTGAAGAAATTCGTTCACGATTATGGCCAAATCAAAGAGAAAAACAAGCTGAACAAAAAGCTCGGGAAGCTAAAGAAAAAGAAGAACGACGTGAACGGGCACGCGATAGGCAAATGAAAATGATGCAAGAGTTTGCGAATAAACAAAAACAGTTTATGCAAACTGCTGCACAAAATATGGAATGTGGTTTTGACGATGTGGAAGATGAAGCTTTCGAGGAACAACCAAGAGAGAAGGAATATGATTGCATTATATGTAATTGTACGACTTCTAGTACTGAATCAAATCCAATTGGGCTAGTTGTACTAGTGGAATCCAGTGGTATAGTTGGACATCGACGTCGCAATGTTGAGCGCTTACCTCTACCATTATCTGCTGAAGATGAACAACGACTTAAACAAAGTTCCCGTCTTGCAACTGAATTTAATAGGCGTACTGAACTACTTACGCTTAAATTTGGCGAAGAGTCTTGGTATCTGTCTAATAACATGTCTTATGAAAATGGTATACATGTGCAGTCATGTGGTCATCATGTTCATCTAAGTTGCTTAGATGCCTATTTGAAGACTTTGTATGCTACACAACGGCAACTTGTACACGAACGTGGCGAATTTAATTGCCCTGTATGTAGACAATTATCGAATTCGGTATTACCGTTAAGCCCACAGCTAGATCGACCAACACCACTTGTACGTTCTGGCACACAACCTTTTGAGCAGTTAGTCTCTGAATTAGCAGAATTAATAAAAGATAATGAGAAATCTCCTGTAAGTAGTATATCTTTAAATATATAAATAATAAAATAAATAATATTATATAACTGATTATTTCATTTACAATTTAAGACATCTACAAAACTCTCTGAAGCCATGGGTCGTGCAATGGAAGATATGACCAATATAACAAACCGGAAATCAAAACGCGTTCATCCAACATTTCGTAATCTATTTGTTTTTGTTACTTCAATAGCTAGAACGAATCTTGAATCAGAAATAATACAAAGAGGTGGTTCTCTTTGTTCAGTTACTTCCACTCGTTACAAACCGAAACGTGATTGTATTGTACCCTTATTGCATGTGTTATCAGTTCATGTGCGTGTTCTGGTAGAATGGCCGTTGTGGCGATCGTGGGCTTCTTTAGCCGGAATGCCAGTAATTGACTCGGCACCTGTGCCTGCGCATTGCCGTGAATTAATACCAAGTCTTTTAGCGGATCCGATAGCACTGCTTTTAAAATTCATATTATTAGCTCCTTTGCATTTGGATCAAGGTAAGATTTGAAATGTGTTTTATATTAAGTGCATTCATTATTTTTAATGTTTTATTGTTTTATTGTTTTTTCCTTAGAATATTTTACATGCATGGTGAAAGTTATGTACAATCTTCTATACTATCAAATTATCGTGCAATTATGCATTACCCTAACTGATCTCGAATGTGATTATATATTATCCAAATTTAATGTGCTACCTTCTGCTGAAAACGTTTATAGTCGCACACACGTAGGTGCAGCTGGAAATCTTTCATACTTGGGGCGTGCCATGGCATTGGTATTGAATCAAACAAATCGTCTGACGCATTTGCGACGTGAAAGTATACCCTCCACATCGGGAAGTGGTTCAACGTTACTAAGCACTGCCGTCTCTTCGACATCGAATGATGCAATAACAACTATTGAAGTCAATTTAAAATCTATGGAAATGCAATTGCAGTCATTGTGCTTACCTTTTCTTCGCATTGCAGCACTATTAAGACAACATCTATACCATTATGATATGCCAGAAATTTCAGCTCCTGGATTAGAGTTTGTACGCTTAGTATACTATTTAGAATTGGTTACAGATTCAATGGATTGGGACTGTTTTAATGCATCGAAAGGTCTTTGTTTTATACCTGGTACCGAGCACACATTACCGCAATTTTGGTGTGAACAGCTTATGGATATTAGGCCACCAACAGATACAATACGTGAACTAATAATTGTCAACCAGCATGCTTCATGGCAGCAACCAAAGTTGCTTGAATTGCCGCGCGAATATGAACGCTTATTTACGGTAGGATATAGAAATATATAATATTTCTATATGTTATAATATTTAACTACATCTCATGTATTTCTACAGTATTATCATGAACGCCCTTGCTTAAATTGTTATAAAGTTCCAAAGGAAAGTTCAATATGTTTATTATGTGGGACAATAGTATGTCTAAAGCAAAATTGTTGTTCGGAAAATGAATGCTGCGAAGCTGTCAGAGTATGTATTTTTAAAGTTTATTTTGTCTGTTGTATAATCCTAAATTACATAATTATATTTATATGTATATATAGGTATTGTAAAAGTTATTGAATTATAATATAGTTATTATATGATTAATACTTTATTTATTTATTTTAGCACACAATCACTTGTGGTGGTGGCATAGGAATATTTCTTGTAGTGACTTCAACCTATATAATTGTAATACGAGGACGACGTGCTTGTTTGTGGGGCTCTTTATATTTAGACGATTTTGATGAGGAAGATCGGGATTTAAAGTAAGTAAATATAATATCTCTTCGTAAATATAAAAGTATATTGTTTTTATTTAGACGAGGGAAGCCACTTTATCTCAGTCAAGATAGGTTTAATCTATTGGAATCACAATGGTTGTCACATAAGTTTGCTCACACAAAACATACTTGGGTGTTCCATAGAGACTTGTTGTGAAATATGGAAGAACTATTGCGAAGTATACAAGAACTTGTTGGACAAATATAAATCGAGAAACAAATAAATCTTAACATAAAAGGAATTCGGGTATTGAACATTAAATAATATTTTAAAATTAATAATATACTGTATAACAATTAATATATATATAATATGTACATATTCAATATAATATATACATACTATATATTATATTATGATGTTATGTATTATATATATTTTGAATATAATTTATATAAAATAATATAATTGTAACGGACTAGCTTATTAAAAAATTTAATTTTTAGACAGGATTAAGTGCACATGCGAACATATATATATATATATATATTTACATATGCATACATGTATATGTATATATGTATATATATGTAGTTAGTTATAGGAAAAAGAAAAACAAAAAACGATCGTAAAAATAAAATTCCACTGATAAACGTGTCCAATATTACTAGTTTACTTTAAAATATTGCAAATTATATACGTTTTTTAATAGAATTCCTTTCTTTATGAATTTTTATTGGTACAGAAAATGATTTAAAAACAAAAATCAATATGAAAGGATAATACCTAAATATAATAAAATAAAGAGTGGAATTTATTTATAATTAATATAAAAATATGTATATTATAAAAGCATAGTGGATTTCAGATAAGAGATAATATTGTATGCGAATAACACATTTAAACTGCCAGGTTATTGTAATCTTTAAATTGCTTTTCGAATTTCCAAAAAATTTCTTCTATACAATTCAGTAACCTCCTTTGGAAAATATTAGTTTTTTTGTATAGAATTGTTTTAAATATTGTCCCTCTTATAATATAAATCTAAACTGGATGTAAAATGAACATTGACCCCAATATAACTTGGTATACGTTGCGTTGCACTTTAGTAATTGTCAGGCGAAATTGATTCCAATTTTAAGTTTTTACAGATATGAAATAAATACTTCCCTAAGACATATGTTAGAAAAAACAGACCTCAGTCTGGCTACCTAAGAGAAGAATTAAATCTAATATTCGTTCGTAAATAGGTTCATATTATGAAACACTTCCACAAAACGGTCGAACACTGGGGATATATAGAATAGCCTTTGCTCTCAATAAAACTATATATATATTTAAATCCAAGAGTTGATGTTGTATGAATGAATTCTTATACAAAGATTATTATTACAATTTTTGTATGTATTTTCTTAGTACTTTATTTTTATGACTTCATATATTACGTACTAAGAATTGAATTTTTTTATTAAAAACGTAATTTATGTGTGAACAGTTCGTATCTGAAATTTAAAACATAAGAACATATATTTGTAGTTTTTGCTAGGATTTTGAATCGTAAATTTTTTGTTCCGACCCAAATAAAAAAATTTGTCAGTTGCGTTCTGGTTTTCGTTCTGGCAAAAAAATCTGATATTGGTAACAGATTGAAATACTTTTATTCATTATTTTTAAATCGACTTTACAAAAAACAAACTGCGTTTATAAATTAATTAAAGTTTTATGAATTGAAGACAAACGTGCCGAATTGTACAAATGGTACCGAATTGTACGGTACTGATCCGAAAGAAATCGATATATTTCCGGTTTGGTTCCAGATTTTGGTCCGTATAAATATCGGTATTTTCGATTTACTGCTCAGTTCAAAGTACCGTTTTTTACACAATACACAATTTTAGTTGCAATTACTAAAATGTTTTTATAAAAAAAATTATTTATAAAATTAAAAATTTCAATTTTGTCGTTAGTATGGCAGTACCATGAATTTTTCTTTCTCTCATGTAATAAACATGTTTATACGTTTTTTTAAAAAAATTATATAAAAATTGTAAAGGTGATCTTTATTTATTACAACTACTTTTTTTAATTCTAGCCTAAGTCATGTATTCAATTACTCTAGGTAATGACAGTACACTTTGAGCCGGTTCATATTTTTACTCCATGGTGGGTTGTTGTAAACAACCCATTTCTTGTCTATAATGTTTTTGCATTTCAAAAATCATTTTTTAACGTTTAAAAAGCAAGTTACAAGTGTCAATCTGACGTCACAAATTTCTTTCTGTAAGAACATGAGCAACACATATGTTGAGCTTTGCCATTAAATCTAGGCATTTCAAGTGATCATGAGATCGAATTCGTTAAATTTAATCTTTCAGTGATCTCACCAGAGGTTTTCCGCCCGCTTGCATCAAGTAATGCCTTTATTGTGGTTTCAACTGGTCTTTCAGGACGTAGTGCATCTTAAATACATTAAAATTGAGGGATCGAAACTTTGCCAACCAGTCAGATGCTTATCGGATAATTTTTTTTTTGCTTCAACAGCATTTTTACCTTTTCGATAGCATAAAACATTTTACTTTCAATATTTAATGTGTCTTCAACCCAGTCGTATATTTCGGCTAGCAAGCCTTGCTATCCAGTTAGCAAATTATATAATGATTATGTGGCCTAAGTGTGAAGTTGGCTGTGAAAAAATAAAATTAGGCTCTCTGTTGTGAAAAAAACGAAATTGCTTTCCGAACTACGTAATATGATATATAGTTTTAAATAATACGGTCCATTTATACTTTTCCAACGTATTTATTCAATATTGATATTACCTGAAGATTGATTTAACTCAGTTCTGTTATCAGCACTAGCAACGCAAGAAAGAACTAACTATATATATATATACATATATAATTTACATTAAAACATTTTTCCTCTGTTTGTCAGATTGAAGGTCCATATGTTTATGTAAATATATATGTATATAAAATGTAGTAAAAATAAGTGTTATTGGAATTCGATCCAGTTATAGAGAGTTACAATAAGCATTGAAAATAAATTGTATTATAATTGCAATCTCAATATATTTAAAAACTATTAAACTAAATCAAGTTTTTATCTTATCTCTGTGTTTCCATACAATTAAATAACTGCGTGCATTTTTTCAAATGAATTTCATATAAAATGCGGTATAAGATGAATCGAATTAATACCTTTAAGAAATGAAATTGTTGGCTTTATAATATTGTCAAAGATTTGTAAATGAATTACAAAGACTTATTGTGAAATACCTGCAGCCTTCTTCGGGTGTGTTTAACGCGCTAAAAAGTTTATTTTACACGCTTTGTTTTTATAGTAAATTAAAAATAATTGAAATATATATATATATATATTTAATATCGTATAAAAATTATTTTTGCAAAATATTTTAGTTGTGTGTATTGGAAATAAATAATTTTAATGAGTTTTATTGGTTATAAAATACACTACAAAAAATTAATAAACGTATAAAAATTATACAAAATTAATATACATATATATATATATATTATATAAACAATAATGTTTTATTATATTAAATATAGCATAAAGTAATTTAATAATTATTCCTTTGTGTGATATAAAAAAAATCTAATAATATATACGTAAATTATTTTATTAAAAAAATTTAAAAATATTTAGTTATATAATTATTCATGAGACTTCTTTTAAAATTTTGTAAATCTTAACTTAACGTTTTTTTTTATTAATCTCTTAATTCCTGATAATACATTGTACATAATTTATAATAATTTTTGTATTAAGTTTATTGATTACATTGAAATTCTTTGTTAGTAAATTTATTTACATTAAACCCCAAAACTCAAGAAATTTTACATATTCATATGTATAAAGAAATTTCTTTTATTTAAATAATTAATTGTTCTTATTCCTAAACTACATCATTTATATGAAATCTTTATTTAATAACTAAAACTAATAAGTAACTTTAAGAAAACATTTTATTTCAAGAAAATATTAAAACTTAATACCAATGTTCAATCAAATAATTTTTTGATATTCGTTCGAAGTTGTTAATAGTTGCGCGTAAGTATAAAAGTATGAAAATGTCCAATATTGCTTAAGAAACTAAAACCATCCTTTAATAGAGATTGAAAAATATGAGAGATATTAAAATCATATAATTGTTGACGATAAATAGGACAAGCCTTATAAATCTTTTCTTTACTATCAGCTTTAGTTTTCAGAAATTCATACATAATAAATATGACTAAATATTTATGTAAAACTTATATAATTGTTCACTGGACTATAATAGTAGGACAATAGTCTCTATATATCATTTATGCTATTATACTATCTCAGCGCTTTAGTTCAAGAGTAAAAGACGTTCAGGTTAATGCAATATTGTATCGGCTGTTGAGTCTACAAAAAAGGATGAGTTAACAAAGGTGGACAATCATCAAAGCAGTATTGCTGCCATCATCTCTAATAATATGTACACATGTCTGTCTAAACGTGTTGTTAATATGCATTATAAAAACATACCCAAACCAACGCAAACGTATGGATGCAACTTATTGCAGTTTTACAAATTTTTTTTATGATATTTCTGAATTCATTTGTAGTCTATCTCGTCATTACAGAATATTGTACATACCTTTTATTATATGAGCTCTTTCTTTATGCCTTTCCCTCAAAAGCTAGTGGTAGGCTTATGTCTATACCTTTAAGAACGCATATTTGGAGCTGTATGTTAAATGGGGTCTTAAGAGTAACTAATTATGTGATTTGAGTTTTAAGATAGCAGTGAAATTTTTGTAGGATATTTTAAAAAACTCTTCAATAACGTTATAATTTTTATATTTTTATTTATTTTTTTTTCAAAAGGTGATACTGAAAGCCACCGTGTGATGAGACTTTAATTCACTAAAACCATCTTTTAGGAATAATTTGTAAAATAAACACATTACTCAAATCGTGAAGAACCATTGTATTGTAAACGTATTGCGATAAATTACAATATTTGAGTTACATCGTCTGACTTTAAAAATTTAAGTCTGAGTTTTAAAAGAACAGTAACGAGATATACGAAATGTTTCATGGTGCCATTGGCCTCTAATAAAAGTAGACATAAGCTGTTGTAAGCGAAGCCAAAACACAAGATATGTTTGGCACAAGTGGTTTGACTAATGATCGCATCAATTCGTAGGCTACAATCCCTGCGACATAGAGTCACAAGAAAACTCTTTTATTTTCATTGATTTCACAAATTTGTTGTAACTGCATCCATTAAGATTTCGGCGTTATTTTTTAATTTAGATTGAATTCAACCATCAGTAGGTAGCCTCGGAACAAGTTTATGCAAGCCAAGAAATGGTTGCGATCCACCAAATAATGTATGAGAATCGGTTATTGCAAGTTCCAATGCTTTGTACACCTGATATGTTATGAAATGGTTCAGAGTTTAGTTTGCAATATAATTCTGAACTAGACACTTTTTAGTATAAAGATTTTATCAATAATTGAATTTTTTCCGAAAACTGTATTAGTGGTCTCCTGAATCCTGTGTATATGTTCCTTCAAACTCTGAAG